CAAAGCATTTGTACTAAAGTGCACTTTGCTACACAAGCGTGATGACTGGTTAATGTTAGACTGAGGCAGGATGAGAATAATTGGTGAGATATATACCTTAGAAACTTCCAGAACTAATTTTGTTTTGCTACTTTGCTTCAGAGTATGTCAATGGAGTGGAGCGACAACATTTTCATCTAATCACTTAAGGTGTTCTGTCATCACTCCACTCCCAGCCACTCTAGGTTTGCCACTTGCAGCTCTTCACTTTCTCTCCACTCCCACTAGGAGAAAGCTCATTGCAGTTTGCTATATAGAATGGGGTGGAAACACATTTTTTCTTATCACCATAATGTTAAACATAGTGTGGTGAATGCCACCCTGAAGCTGGATTATGGGTTGTTAGCATAATGTAATGCTTGTGGGATGGAGCTCTGAGTGCACTGCTCACATAACCTACAGTGCCTTTTTGGCCTTGCTAATGCCTCTATGGGCGCCCACAATAAATAAAGTAATTTCCTACAGCATTTGTAGTAATATAATGTCATTTGGTCCACCCAACTTTGAAATATACATGTTCTGTTCTGCATTCACAAGCACTGCTTAAAATTTGCAAGGACTGGAGAGTCAGGGAGTTGTCTGTGTTTCACCATTGTTAAAGTTTTTTAGAGAAGTTTTTCTAGCTTTATAGTTCAAACTATTTCGAGGAAAAGAGGAAGAAGACGGAGAAATACAGGATGTCAGCACTGTGTAAGGCTACTTTGATCCCTAATAATGATAAATCACCTCAAGTCTCCAGTAACGCCCAAGCTCAACCACTCAGTTCAGCTATGGTACACATAATTATGTGGGTCCCTCCTGGACAGTGAAACTTCATTTCTGAGGTTCAGGTTGGCATCTTCAATTAATTACATTTTCAATTACATTTTTACTTTAAGTGTTTTAATTTAAACGAATTAATAAAAAAAATTGAGATAACACTCGGACGCACACATTACACTAGGATGGTGTAGGTCAGGCTAGCTGCAGTCTATAAATATTGTAATTGATTTACTCTGTTCAGCACAGGAAAAGAGTGAAAGATTTCAGGATTGGACTGGGAAAGAAATTCAGCCTTAGACTTATCCACTGGTATTGGGAAGAGGAGTTGTGGCTTGGGTTGCTCAGGTCAGTGAAGTCAAACTGGATGCTCTCATACTAATGCCATGCCAATAAAAGCTTTTATGATGATCCACTGGCCCACACGCATGTGTCCCGGGAATCCCGATGGCCAGTCCTACCAAGAAGGGTTTTGTTGTACCTGGGTAGTGCGGTCGGTGTGAATAGGTATATCTCAATGTCAGCTAGTTAAATCTACCTACTCTCCTCACTTTCTTTTTCTGTTTTTTTCTCTCTCCCTCTCGCCTTGGCTGGGTGTTGGGCTGTTGCCACATGACTCCACCTCCTGTATCTGTTGTTTCAAATTAAAAGCCCTCTGCAGAGCTGTGTAATTGCGACTTCAGGACATTGCAGCGGCAGAAATCATTTTGCAGTGGCCATCCACTGCTGCAAAATGTGTTTAACAGAAACAGTAGATCAACAGTTAGTTCCTCTCTTTGCTAAAATGATAATGTTAGCATTGTAACTTATTTGCATAAGATACAAAGTTAACCTGAACTGGCCTACCTACAGCTGAAGCAGACATTTTAAAGTTAAAGTTGATAAACTTGAACTGACAATGTACAGCAACCTGATGAAATGCAGCATGTTGAGCTAAACTTAACAAAGCAGGCCTATAAACTGATTGAAGCAGAACATTGTTAATGTCAAGCTGATCCTGAGATGTCCTAAAATGGTCTTGGTAGCGGTGCTGGCTTAATGGTACTATGCATAATTGAACACATGCGGAAAACGGATGTCTGTGATTTGGTCAGCCAGTCTCCTATCTTCTTCTGGAATGCCCTGGAGGTTAGGAAAACCAGAGCAGATGGACCCTGGACGTGTAAAGGGATCAGGTGGTATTTTTTATTCATTTTGTTAGTTGTGGCTTCAGGGTGCTGCAGACAACCAGGAGAACTGCCGAGGGCAGTTTTAAAATGCATCATATAGTAGGTTTTTCATTACTCCCAGATATTGGCACAGTCCACAAAAATGTGCTTTCTTCAAAGGCTACTTCACTAATAGCAAATTGGCCATTATCGATTTTGGCTGCATACTCGTTGGTTTTATTTTTATAAACATTCGATCAGTTTGCTATAATGTGTTCAATATGTTTCCAGTTGAATTAAAGTGCCTATTAAGTCCCTTTAATGTCGCAATATAGTGATGTTAATATGGTAATTAGCAGTAGTCTAATCATGCATACAAATTTATTTAATAATACCTATTTAATATGACAACAGTAACTACTGACATTGATTTTGCATTAAGAATAAAAGCAAACTATAAGATCAAATTTGATTATATGCACTTTTCATGAATTGAGCCTATTTTCTGTCCCCCCTAATTCCCTAATGGTTTCTATTCACATCTCCCCCTCATACCTAACATCTAAATGGAAATCACCAACATCCATAAACATGTCTTCTCATGGAATGGGAAATGGAGGGGATTGATATAAGTAGATAAAGAGGACAGGGAATGGAATGGTTCTTCTATACCTCATTTACCAGCAAACCGCTTAGCGAGGCCATTGGCATTTCCGGGGTCAAGAGGGCAAAATGAATGTTCTTCATATCCTATGGTGACTCGTAAAAAGGAGACTAGTGACACATGCATGTACGCAGACAACCCACACACACACACAGTCTTGCGCAGTCAGTGTGATTTATACCAAGACCTCTCGGTCGACAGTCATGGGCCGTTAACTCTGTCACAGCAGAACAGGAGAGAAATAACTTCATGGATGTGGATATTGAGCAACAGACATTAACACAGAGGGCCAGAATAACAGGAAACCAGCCTTGACCTCCGGGGTGAGGGAGAGAAAGAGGGATGGCAAAGGAGCATGGATGGCTCTCCATCTTGATTTGCAAGAGGCTGCGGTCCAAACCTGAGAAGACTGAGAAACAGTGAAGATTTTGTTTTCCCCCACCCCACCAAATCCCCTAATTACTTCCAAATGTGTCCTTAAATCAACTGGGCAGTAGTAAGATGTATTTCCATGGAACACAGAGAAAAGACACATCAGTTCCAAAATTTTTCATCAAGGAGCAGCATTAGACAAACTAATTCTAAAAATCATATAACTGTGATAAAACTGCATCACTGATATTGTGGGCCAAAGATGATATGAACAAGTGCATGAATTGATCAAATGACTAAGAGTGCATTATACCAACCCAGTTTCATTGTGGAGACAACAAAAAACAGCAGAAAGAGTTGATTATGTAACCATAGCTCCCTCTTTCTTTTTCCTTTTTTTTGCTGTTGTTCACTGCATTCATCACTTTCTATCCCATTTTATCTCCATCTCTGTCCATTCTCCTCCACTGCTGGTGATGACATTGCCTCAACCAAGGTCTTTGATTAGTGCCACTTCTAAATAAGGCACATCCTGTTGACCTTCCAAACTTTGCAATTTCCTATTAACCCTTCCCTGCCTGTTCCTCTCTCTGTCTCATCTCACTTGCTTTACTCCACATCTCCTCTCTCTGAGGGATTGTGGCCTTCTGGGTAAACAGACCAAATACATCATAAAAGTCAGTGGAGCGGTATGTCATGCAGCATTTGCTTACTAAATTAGATGTTCCTGTTTTGCTATCACACTTGCTCTCTTATATGCTTCGGTGCCAACTGCTGGGGCTGATCGAGGCATGCACAGTGGATGCCCAGGCATGTATTGCTTATATTCATCTTACTGTAGATGTGCTTATCTAGTGATTGGGCACAGGACAGAGTAGTTCTGACTGATCCTATGAGAGCCTAGTTCATCGTGAAGACAGGTGGCTTCAAGGTTTAAGAGTAAATCCAGATTGGAGACAATGTCAGCCATGATGGTTAGCAAAGACTGCAATGCCACAGGACTTTCATAATGCCTCAGTCAGACTCTTCCATCTTTAATCAGCCAAAGGTAGAAGGTGGGCCAGGAAAGAGTGCCCTGATTGAGTTGGAAAAGACATTTGACCTGCCTCCACTGTTCTTCTTCAGGAAAGAGGAAGTTTGCTGGGGAATATTTTGTCCCCGCCAATAACTTCAGGCAGGTTAAAGTGAGCATGTGCACACACATACTCCCTGTAATCTAACTCAATAGAACACACACACACACACACACACACACACACACACACACACACACACACACACACACACACACACACACACACACACATATAACACAGACATACACACGCATGCACACACACCTCTCCTTGCGGTCAGTGTTGCCACCAGGGAGAGGGGTAATTTAAGCCCTCCTTGATGTAGCCTATT